AGAGTTCCCACCTCGGCCTCACTTGCTTATAACTCATAGACCTCACCAAGTTGCAGTTAAAAATGTATATCATCAACTTTTCCTGTATTTAAGTAGCTTTTTTTAAGTGAAAATAACAAAGATGCTCAGTACTAAATTTTCTTAAAGGGTACATTGCAAATGAGCATGATTTCTCATTATCTCAAGACATGTGACAAAAGTGATTGACATGTCGTCAAAGCTCAGACTCATGAGCAGGATTTCATTTGTTGATTGTTTACAGCACACTAACACAGTATATGTGATGCACACTTACATTTTGGCGGTAAGAGTGGTTTTCCTATGGTAGCACACCATCCAACAGGATGTACATCCATTCTCATTAAATTGCACCAGAAATCATGTGATTTATCACTCCCAAATCCTTCGTACCTAAGAAGTGCTTTGTAACCTATAACAAACAAAGTTATAAATCATAATATTTTGTAGAGTACTGGTACACATAGTGGAAAGGGTAAACAAGCAGCCTCTCAGCTGACATAGCTCCGCTGTTAGCAATGCACATTTCAATTAAAGAACTGAAGATATCATTAGAAAATGAACAAATCTGAGCAATCGGACTTGTTGTTTTCAAATATCACTTTTTACCAAAAATGACGAAAATATTCATCTAAATTAGAGAATTGAATATATCATCACGATATGAACAAATCTAAGAGAGGTCTGTCCAAGGTACATATACACCAAGTATCAAAGCAATAAGAATTGTAGTTTTCAAGAAGTCGAAAAAGTAAAAAATTTACAGTGATGACGGACAATCACTCATATGACAGCAGAGCTAAAAAGCCGTCAGATGGCAGACCCCCATCATCTTTATTCGATTGGTTGAAGCAGTTTATATTGATGGGAGATGGGGGATGTCCATGCTATTGAAAGTGGGTATAGTAATGTAATTCAGAATTGGGAATATGTACTATTTCAGTCTAGAGTACTTGTTGCTAGAAGGAAAGAGTAGATAAGAAATCATCTAACACAAAACAATTTCCAAGTTTCTTTAGTTTAGACTATGGACACTTGTAGCCACTATATCAAAGAAAGCTAAGCACTGGTTAGATGGATATATATCTGCAATACTGCTCTAGGTATCATAGTTATGCATTTTTAATGAGGTCACAAGACCATATATGGATATATATATATATATATGTTGATCAGATCGTGTACCCAATGTCTTTACTGTAAAATCTGTATTAGAAGCCGCGGCTTCTATTAAAATGGTACAATGCAACAGAGGGGATGCGGCTTCTATTAGAGCATGTACACATATGAGAAATGATGAATTTTTTATTCTAAATTATTCAAAAAGAATGGGTGCGACTTCTATTAGGGATGCGGCTTCTAATACAGATTTTACGGTAATACCGGTATAACACTGTGTGAATGCCTCTATCTGCAATAGTGCCCTAATATA